TTTGCACGCCAAGGGACAGTCCGTTAGGAAGTCGTTTGAAATTCTCTGAAGAAGAATATGTAATAGAACAAAGCAATAAATTCTTCTGTACTTAATTTCCAGTTAATGTTGGTTCTAATTCTAAAAACATAGAATTGAAAAGTTATAATTCGTTCAATTTAGATTTTCTAATATTTTTTTTATTGAAAAGTATAGAAGGTCCGTCCATTGACTGGGACCACACTAAGGATCTAAGACTTTTAACAACTTCACTATGAATTAGTTCCAGGTTATTTGTCAGAATTGAATCTAAATCCGAATTTGGTTGTTTCCATTGTATGCTGCGAAGTCGATTGAAGGTATAAGTGTTGTTTCACTATAGATTTTCAACTTTGATCAATTTGATCAAGTATTACATTATTTATGATTGTGTTTTAGATGGCGCGTAAGATTGAATTTCAGCGCGAAGCATTTTTTGCACACTTCACATCGGAATGGTTTGACACCGGTGAGCACTAATATGTGACATCATACCACATTTACGAGATGTCACGTAGCTCTTGCACAAGTAACATTCGTAACGTCGACTTTGGCACTTCGATTCATGTTGCTGCTTTTCCATCTCTTGAGAGAAGTTTCGGGCGCAAACCAAACATTGGAATTTCACCGGACGAGAATTTGTGTGAAGTTTTGTATGACCTTTCAAATGTGCCTTTCGTGTGAATTTCTTGGAGCAAAGGCTGCATCGGAAAGGTCTTACGCCGGTGTGCACACGCATATGAATCTTCAAATAAACCTTGTGTGGAGTAGAGAATTTCTTGCACAAGTGGCATTCGTAGTGTCGCCCATCGCAAGTGACTTCATGCTCCAATCTTTCATCATTCTGAGCGAACCGCTTGAGACAAACTGAACAGCTGAACGGATATTCATCGGGGTGTGTTTTCAAATGTGTTTGAAGGTTCGATGTTTGTGTGAATCGTTTGTCACAGATGTTGCACGGGAACGGCTTCTCGCCAGTGTGCGTCAACATATGCGTCTTCAAATTGCATGGCCGTGATGCGACATGATCACACGTCGGGCACTTGTGTTGTTTCTTGTTTTTTTTTGCAGCTGATCGCTTTTTGTGAGATGCAATGATGACCGATCTGGCTCTGCCTGTCGCTTCGATTGACTTCAATTTGGCAGCCAGTGTTTTGTGACCATCGCGATTCTGCTTTTTAGCCTGTTTGACGTCAATGTTTCTCTTGCCTGAGCCATCACCGCTTGGCTGTGATTTTTTGCTTTCTTCTGGCTTGCAATCAGCTTTTTCCACCTCTTCAGCTTTAGGCTCTGGTTCGATATGAATCCATTCGAACTCGTTGATTCCAGGCGATCCATCGCTTTGAAGTCCATTGCTTGTATCATCGGCTAGTTCCAACTTGACGTGTTGCACTCGATGTTGATTCGGAATCGACACCATGTAAACGTAATCAGCAGCCTCCGGCTCGTCTTTGACATCGGGCTCTGATTTGATTTCAATTGAATCACCATCCATGATAACCTTCTCCTCGAGCTGAATCGAGTGGTTGACGCCAACGTCTACTGT